ATGAGGATGAGGATGAGGATGAGGATAAGCATGGGGAGGAGAAAGAAGAAGATGAAATTAAAGTTAATTTGGTTTAAATTCATTTAACTGACAAATTAAGGGTTAAAATTTTTAATTTGTTCAGGTGGCATTTTAATTTGTACAGGTGGCATCCATGAATTTCCATGTTAGTTATAGTATTATTTATATAAAATATACTTAAGTGATTCTGTTAATTAACATGATACATCATAAAAAATTTAACGGAAGGACTAAAAAATGGTCGGATTTATGAACAGTAAGGATTAAAAAAGGGATTTTTTTGGTACAGGGACTAAAAAAGGGCTTTTTCTTATAGTAGAGGGACCAAAAAAGATATTTAACCATAAAAAAAAGATTTTGATCACCTAACCATAAGGAGAAGCAAAAACTACAAATATGCAAAAACAAGCATCATTTAGGCACCCAGATCGTTTGGATATACAAAAACAGCCATTAGCCATCAGCCATTGAGACCCTCCTTAGGTTCATTGCAAACCCAGAACTAGATTCGCAATGAACCTAGATCGTCTGGGTTCGCCACGCCTAGATCGTTGGGTTCTTGAGGAACCTAGATCATCTGGGTTCACCATGAACCAAGATCGTTTGGGTTTAGCACGAGCCTAGATCACTAGGTTCCTTGCGAAACTAGATCTGGGTTCGCAAGGAACGCAAATCGTCTAGGTTCACCATGAGCCCATATCACTAGGTTCCTCGCGAAACCAGATCTGGGTTCGCGATGAACCCATATCATCTAGGTTCGCCACGAACCTAGATATAGTCTGCAAGGGGGATGAGGGGGAAGGGAGAAGAGAAATATTGATGAAGAGTGAGGGAGAAATATTGATGGAGAGTGAGGAACAATGGCCATAAATAGTAGTGGTGGTGGTGGTGAGGAGAATGAAGAGAGAAAGGGAATGTGGGACCCATTTGAGGGCTTTTTGTTGTGTTTGATTCATGTAAATATCACATGGCATAAAATTTTGTCCATATCAACATTTTTTAAGTTATTTTTTTTTATGTCATCAGAAAAATATAAAAAAATGTTAGGTGGATGGACTTAACAGTCCAAACTAATTGCAGGATCAAAATTATGCAGTTTTTAAAATTGAAGGATCAAAAAAATATAAACCATAAAATTGAAAGACCAAAATTAACATTTAAATTAGTTATTTTGTACCGTACCTATTAAGATATAATTGAATCAAATTGTCAAATTAAAAAAAAGGTAGTGTGATAGTTATAATCTGATTTGACGATTGACACTTTTTTTTTCACATGATGGTTTGAGTTTTGATTTTATTTTTTATTTTTTATTTTTGAACTCCTACAATTTTTGAGGAATGGAGGACTAGAATTGGGTTAAGAATTTTTGAACCTTTATTGAGTGAGTAACAAGTAGTATTATTTTCACTCATCTCATACATTAGGTTGGCCTAAGCATTGACTTGTGCGCTTGAGGTTGAGGAAAACAAATAAATATATCACCATTGCTAACACATATAGTGGTGTATAATATTCTATTATAAGAAAAAATAATTAATAAATAATATTCAGACATATATTGCAGCACATAACATGGTTATCAAATATAAATTTGTCTAAATACTCACACTGATAATAGACACACAAACACAAAGTCTATCAAACTGATACATCATTTATAAACAAGAAGACATAAGATCCAAGGATAATCAACATTCAAAGTGCTTAGCTACTAATT